GGAGGGGATGCATTAGGAGGTGCTCCAAGAGCGACAGAAGGGGCCGACTCCAGGGCTATTGATGGACTGTACGTGCACAGGGAAAATGGCTCTCACGGACAATGGTCCGGCCGGTAAGCACAAGAGCAAGGGGCATAAGCACTGGGCCTGCAACTATTGTGAGACCTCAATGTTTGCCCACCAACCTCAGGGACCATTTCTTAAAGAACAAGTGTAATATTGAGCATGTGACCCGCCCGTTGGACGCAGAGGATACAGGTGATTCAAATGGGGACAATGCAGCCGGAATGGTTTATCGGAGGGAAGGGATGTGCGGGTGGGGGTACGAGCAGTGCCCCGTCCAGGAGCAGCTTGGTCGTCCCACCCCCATCAACATGCAGGCCCCGTGTTCCAGCTGTTAGGGAGTCGGCCACGCTTGCAACATCAGCGAACACTGCACCGTTGGTCGGTTGGCACAGCATCAAGAACGCCCCTGTTCGTGTGCCAGTGTGACATTAGACTTCATTCGGAGCATAGGTACGGCGATAGGAGAGAGACGAAGGCATGAGAGTAGCTGCATCATACTTTGAACATCCGCAGTAGCTCAGGATGAGCCGCCACAGCTTGTGATCATACCACAGAGGACAGCCGTGAAGTGAGCTGTTTCCAGTCTTCCTTCCTTCCTTCCTTTCCTCCCTCCCCCTCCCCCCTTCCCCTCCCCCTCCCCCCTCCCCCCTCCCTTCCTTCCTCGTGTGCCCTTCAGACAATATAGGATCAACAGTCTATCAGATAAAGTGTGACAATTATCCCTATGCATTTTACGGCTCAACACATTCGATTCACACACGTGACATAACTTAAAGAATTCTCCCCCCCCCGCCTTTTGCTCACAGTTTTTAAACCACCAGTACTTAATGACCCTTCCCTTAACACCCTAGAAACGCCCTGCGTGCCAAACAAACTTAGCTGCCGCATTTCCTTTCCAACTGGCGCCAGCCATTTACCTCCTGCAGGCCGTGCACAGAAGTCACAGCGTGTTAACGGCCACGTCGGAGACGAATGCTGGGAAACGTACCGGTGGTTTAAAAAGGTCCATTGTATCTCACATTCAACTCAAGCTGTAAAGACCCTGGTCAGTGCCACAGAACTAACTGGATACACTAGGTGGTTGGGCTGGTCGACAGTGGAGAAACAAACTTACCGCATGCACATCTCGAGACTGCAGATGATGCCTCTATCAACCCCTCGTATCGTGCCCGCATATCACAAATTTTCTGCAAAGCAGAGAAACAGGAGACACGCACAGAGGCGAACAGAATATGAGACAGACGGCCACAAGAGGAAAGACAAGGAAAAGGAGAAAAGGACAAGGTCATGAACATGATTCACCACCAGAAAGCACTATATCATCGCAGAGGGTTAATTGTTGAGTATCTGCAGTATTCAGTAATACTGTGTCAACTTCAAATGTGGCATGCGCTCCTCACCTTTGTGCCTTATAGCCTGCAGACTCGACACACCCGGCCACTATATCATGCTCCTTGCACAGGAGCTGTGGAATGAAGGAGCTGTGGAATGCTGGAGCTATATGGGCCGTAACTTACTCTCACAGCTTTGTTACTCGCAGTGATCTTTGGTTCACAACAAGTGCACATTGTTTTGCAATATGAACCATGTGCCTTCTCCACAACAAGGCCCTGAGGTGGCTGTCTCTAACTTCCCATTCAGCATGGACACAGCTGTAAAGAAATTGGCGGTCCTTTACCATAGTGTCTGTCAGCATCACTGCGATGGGATGGCCTATTCAGGCGTGAGCATATAGCAGCGCCCCACTTTCCCTTACGACATATATCAGACTACTTATGCTCGCCCATCACATCCCGCCCTCTGTTCTGCTTCTTTATAACCGGCATGCCAGTTTGTCAGCGGCTTCTGCTACAATCTCTGCCTTCACTCATTCCTCTCTTTCTTCTGCTCTCTACTGCAATTACGCTGCTGGTGGGCAGAGAGACGTGAAGGCATTCCCCGCTCAAACAGAAGGCAAGCAACTCTGCTACCTACAAGAAAGAGCAAGAAAGCAAAAGCGAATGAAGTAAGCAAGTATAAGCAAACCAAAAAAACAAAGAAGACACGTGCCTGTTTCTTCCCTCGTGCTATACATCCACCCTCCTGGCTCATTGCACCCTCCTTCCGTCCCTCCCTCCCTCCCTCTCTCCGTGCCTGCCTGCCTACCTACCTACACACGTACCTGCTTGCATGCTTGCCTACCTGCCTGCCTGTCGACCTGACAAAATCATATTCATTAATTCAGAAGATTTGAGCAAAAGGAAACGGAAAAAGAGGAAAAACAAACAGCACAGCAGAGAGACTTTAGATACGACAAATCTGCAATTAACTTGATCAAATCTACATGAATAATAAATAAAACAGACAAAACTGCCCAATATCTATCTACCTATCCTCTCTCTCTCTCTCTCTCTCTCTCTCTCTCTCTCTCTCTCTCTCTCTCTCTCTCTCTCTNTCTCTCTCTCTCTCTCTCTCTCTCTCTCTCTCTCTCTCTGTGTGTGTGTGTGTGGGTGTGTGTGTGTGTGTGTGTGGGTGTTCTCGTGCCTGCAGTTAAATATTGTCAAGGTCAAGAACTGCAATGCCGCGAAGGGGAGAAATCGATCCCTCCCCCTGTCCTGCTTCATCCATTCATCGCACAGCGTCAGTCGCCTGCCAGAATTCCCGCTGTCCTGACCTCACCTGCGACGTCTGCTTTCTATTTCTGCCATAACTCTCCCTTTCCGTATTCGCCAATCCTTGCCCTCACATCCTCCAGCAAACCTATCAAGACTCTCCCTGATCATCATGCGTCGCTCACGCCGCAAAACAATCGACCTCTCTTCGGTCGGTCCGGTTCGCTATTTCTTTCGGCCTTCGCTCGTCTCTGCAAGAAACACAGCCCCTATTTCGGTCAGCCCTCCCGAGCAAGAGGCTGCAAGTCTCCCCCTCTCCCTGCGCCTATCATCAGCTGTGTTACACACCTATTTCCGCCGGAGTCTGGCCTAGGCACTCCGTCCTCCACACACTTTCTATTCCCCTCCTCCTCACAGCATTTCCCCCCCCACACACTTGGCTGTTTTCAGAACGTCAAACCGCCAGCTTCTTTCGCCGGGGTATCTTAGACACACGATCTACCCTTCTTAGATCGTTCCACTCGCTCGCCGAAGTTCCGCTCCTCCACCATGTCATCTCCGCTTACCGAATCCAAATAAAAGCCAAGACGGAAAAGAACCAAACCTCCTAACTACTGATTCACCCTCTTCCCGTTCACAAGAGAACAGCGATCTTGTACCACTACTACTGGCTCCGCCTCCACTGGAAGCTTTCGCAAAGAGCCAATAACAGGCCCGAGACGAACTAAAGGTTGCTGGATGATGGGCCACCGTTCTCCGCAGCGCGATGTAGTCTCTCTCTCTCTCTCTCTCTCTCTCTCTCTCTCTCTCTCTCTCTCTCTCCCCATCTATCCATTTATCTACCTAATCGATTGGTGACAACTGTCGTCCACTCCCCACCCAAAGCCCTCCTCTTTTCTCCATCCTTCTCCTTGGCCATCAACCGATCTCATCACCAGCAACTCGGCCCCCAAGGCAGCGCCTTTCCGTATGGATCACCCTTCTCGGCTTTCTGACTTTAATAATGCTGCATTTGCGGAGCAAAACGGATATTAATCACAGCTCTCATCAAATAATCACAGCCCGCGGACGGACCAGGTTGGCTCTCCTTTTCACACGGCGGAGATACTAACGTCAAGATAAGACATTCAGAGAAGAAGCAAGAGAGATGGGAGACGAAGGGAGATGTAGACACAGTCGCGGACAGAGCGAATAGATCTAAGTACGAATAGAGGAATACATTTGAAGAAAGAGAACGAGGCTTGAAGGAGGGTTCAGAAACGGGAAAGGCAATGGCAGCAAGAGGAGGAGAAGGGGCATGGACAGAGGGAGACAGACGGCAGGAGGGAAGTTATAAAGAGAGACGTGGAGGGAAGGAGACAGACCAAAAAAACGGAGAGAACGAGGGAGTTGAAAAGCGACGTGGCGAGAATTCGGGATCGGCCGACAGTGCAAACGCTAAGGAGAAAGGGGGGGGAAGGGAGAAGGGAAAAAGATATGGGGCGAAGGGACGGAAAGAGAGCAGGAAGAGGAAGAGAGACACGAAGGGAGAGGGAGAGAGAGGTCGAGAGACAGGGAGGAAGAGAGGAAAAGAAGGAAAGTAGAGAGCGGAGAGGGGAGAGAGAAGGGGGAGGGGAATAACAGCGAGAAAGGCAGAGGAGGAGAGAGATTGCGGGAGGGGATTAAGGAGGGAGATAGCGAGGGGGAGACGGCGAAAGGCAGGGCTGAAGAGGGGAGCGATAGGACGTACCTCGTCATGCTAGAGCGGGAGAGAGGGAGAGGGGAAATGTAGGCAGAGAAGCGAGGGGGAAAAAAAAAGAGGCAAGCCACACACAATGAAAAACAGGGCACGGCCCACACACAATGCCACACAGAGAAACGTCATCGCGCAAACGCCGTCCTTCCGGCAAGACAGGCCGGTGGAAAGTCGTAGCCACACCCAGAAGCGAAACACAACATTTCGCTGAATCATCGAGAAGCCCACAGGCTTCTCCTCAATTCTGAGGCGTTGCTGGAAGGGGGCGGAAACGGCTTCTTCTACTTCCGATCACCGTCAGCATGCGTGTCAGTCTCATGTTTTCTGTTCCCTCGCGAGCCATCACGGCCTTTGCGTAACCACGTCGTGACAACCAACAGCGGTTTTTTGCAATTTGCCATCAAGTGAAAAAGGAGGAAAAGGAGGAAAACAAGAACACCTGTTCAGACACCTGCACGCTTACCCAACAGCGATTGTACAAACTGTCTCCACCAGCGCCAAACTGGGACGCAGGTTTTTGTCTTTTTCTTATTCCGCCAAACTGGTGAGCTTTCGAAGTCTATTGGAAGGTTCAATCGAAAGCCACAGACGAGTTCAAAGTCCATTGGGACGCAGGTTTTGGTCTTTTTCTTATTCCGCCAAACTGGTGAGCTTTCGAAAGCCACAGACAAATTCGATTGTACAAACTGCCTCCTTATATGCCAGTCATCTTCATTCTTTTAGGGTTCGGAATCATGATCCCTTTATTATCAATTACACAAGACGGACTCGATAATACGGGCCAAGACTTCCGCAGTGGTTTTGGTCGCTTGTCTCTGATTGGATCGTTCATTAGCTGATCGCTACAATAACCTTGGTCCATATTGGTACACAACGGTCCAAACTGAGTGTACATAAACGGCCGATAATTGGTCCATTATGGGTCCAAATGGTACACTTTGGCCGAATCGGTCAAACGGGGACCAATCGATTGAACCAGCCGCACAGTACCCAGTAACTGTCAGTAAACTGAGTTCGAACGCCGATGGAATCAGACGGACACATCTTTCGAAAGATCAACAGAAAAAAAAAGTCTACAGTGATCTAGACATCAGTTCGGTCATCATATCCAGGACTTGGAAACCAAAAAATCTTTCATTCTTAATACTCAAAAATTGGAACGCGCTCCACGGTCAGCAGATACTGGTTATTAAGAAAGACGGCCTCTTGTATGCGCCTCACTTGAGTTTTCTGGGATTGAGTCGTTTTAGACTTAAAGGAAGGAAAGAGCTACAGATGTTATGGCTGCCTTGCGCGGTAGGACTTAAGGATTGCCTGGGCTTCCATGGGATACATTTTTTTGCCTTTTTGGAGGACCTTTAGATAAGTTGACAGAATTGGGACGAAAAAGTAGAGAACTTTGGGACGCTGGACCCGGTTTCCAGCACAGCCTATACTGGGTAACGGCCCCACAAGTGTGTACCGGGCTGTTTGTGAGGATTCCCGGCCTCTGTTCAACTTGCGAATAAGAAAGCTTGAGATCGAACTTTCCAGTTATAGGGTACTTGGCTCCTGTGGCTGAGGGTGCCGGTTCCATTCCGTCCTGCTATCTATTTTACAAAACCATTGTTTCTTGTGAGATTTCGTTTTAAAATGAATAACCATGAGGTCAATACTATAGCAGGCCATCGATAACCTTCATATCTTGGGCCTACGGTCCGCCGTATCGATCTCGAAATCACGCAAGGAGACAAACGCATCCTCCACCATCAGAGTGCGCAACAACAACCAGCAGATCAATACACATTTTATCGAGACAAGTACAGCAAGCACATATCGATGTGCCTACGTGGGGAGAAGCATCGATATGTTATGTCATTGCGATGAAGCAGATAAGAGGGCTCGGGGCGGGGTCCGGGAAGCTGTGCGAAGCAGCACAGCGTACGGGCGAGGTGGAGTCGAGCAGTACATCGTCCGAATGGCGAGATTGCAGTGGGGTCGGCAGGAGTACTGCGAAGCTTGGCGAGAAATGGCAAGAAATAGCGGGAAACGGCACATTCCTTGAAATTGACGACACTAAAAGCACTACACTGAACACAAGTTAAGGAGGTACAAAGCGGGGAAACGAGGGGAGGGAGAAGAGATGTGTTGCAGGTCCTGGTGCAACGAAGAAGAACCAGAGGCCTCGAACCGTCGTCCTCACCACAGAGCTGCAGCCCTCGGACCGTCCACCCCACCGACGAGAAACTTGCGCAAAAAAAATGTATTGAACATACAGAAAAGAGGGGAGCTAGGACTGAAAAGAGAAGTATAACGTGCGAAGAGCCCAGGCGAGAAAAGTGCTAACGCGTTCTCCGTCGTTCCGAAGGGGCCATGTCCATGCGATGACACACAAAAACCATGTCCGGTTTTCCGGGGGGGCAAAAGCTACGGACTGCAGAGGGGATCAATCAGGTACAGTGCAGGCTCAGTGAAGAGGACTTTAATCAGCCGATCTGGACAACAAAGCACTACGCAAATAAGGAACGATCTATCTGTTCCCATCCATCCTCAATCAGAATGAGGAATTGTGTCCCAATGTTGTTTCCTGTCCAAGCAGAATGGGCAGAAGACGATCTCGTGGTGGGTAGGGAGCAGCGCCCGCTGGAAACCGAGTCCGAGCCGCAGTAACGTCAAGGCTACAATTTTGGGAGCGCTCATGTCACCTTCAGAGCATACTCACTCACAATAGGACTTCGCTGGATGCATCTGACCGCAATTACCGCCGGACCAGGATGTATCTGACAGTAATTACGTCCAGAGCTTATCCAGACAAGTCCCAATGCCCGTGTCACCTTCAGAATGGTAGCCTGCTAGACGATGTTTCCTTTAAAACGAGGGAAGGAAAAAAAAAAAAAAAAAAAAAGTCTGCAATTACCCACACACCTCCCAGGATAATCGCAGCCCTTCACCCTGCCAAAAGAGCCGTGGCGATTACTCTTCTTCTCCTTCCTCCGCTCACGGCCATTCCGACGTCTAATCCCGACGTCGTACGGAAGATCTGCATGTGCCTGTGAAATCCCAACGTCATCGAATACACATGAAGAACAAAGAAAATAAAAAACTGCGCGACCCTCGATCTGTCCGTGACATTAGGGAAGACAACCGACCCTCCATGCGCTGTACTCTGCATCGACCAAAAGAGGCCAATCAACACACTTCCCTCATCTTTCTCCGCACACTTGCCTTCACTGACCGCACCCGCAAACGCATTCTTGCTTCTAAACGCATGAGGGAATGACACTCGCGGAGGCACCCCGCCTGCCTCCTTCCCTCCGTCCATCTTTCCCGCCGCTCTTTCCGCGTTCTCCCACCTACAGGTTCCATAGTAGGCACCCTTCTCCGCTCCCCCATCAAACTTCGGCCAAAGCTCTGAAGACCAAAAAAAGAACTGCAGGATATGGCGAAAATTAGAGATCCGTCTCCGATTACATAGGCAAACACAAGGGATTGTCAGCTCGATTGGAGAATGGACAATTGATCGACCGGAGGAGCTTCCACCACCCTTCCGATCCCATTTCCCCTCCTCCCGGCAGCTCGCCGCTACGTGCACCCAGTTCTTTCTCACCACAAGAAACATCGTTCTCGTTCCGAGAAGATGCGTGCAACTCGCAAGGATGTTTAACCACAGAAGGAAGGCGCAATGAGAGCCATCAGTAGGATACGTATAGACATTCCCTCGTGGACATCTCGACGGGAGTCCACCAGTTGTTCTTTTTTTTTTTTTTTTTTAACTACGCTACATTCTTCTCTCAAATCTTTCATCATCTTTCAAATTCTTTCAAATTCACCTTCACTACCTACCTACCACTACTCCTAAGGCTTAGACAGGGGACCCCTGCAAACATAGCTTTTGTTGTCTTTCATGTCACGTCACTGTACGCGAACCTATATATAAAACGCCATAATTCGGGAAAATATTCAATTCGATAGTTTCGATGATTTTTTCCTTGATAAGGGAAGAGAAGAAAACCATTCTGAATCATATTACCAAATAAACCATAGGCAGAGAGGAAGAAGAGGACAACAAACAAGTCTCCAACGAAACAGTTTGTCGCAGCCCCTCATTTGTTTGTTGTCCTCTTCTCCCTCTCTGACTACGGTTTACCGGGCAGTTCTGTTTGACGATCTATAAGATATATATACATACCGTCAAGCAGAATTCACATTTACCGGGCAGTTCTGTTTGACGATATATATTGTCACACTGAATCGGAGCGCAAATTTATTTACGTATTCCTATATGTCATGTGTATATGCCTATAGATGTGTGCGTCTGTGTATGTGTGTGTGTGTGTGTGAGAGAGAGAGAGAGAGGTGGAGGGTTGAGAGCGCTACAGGGAGGTTGTAGAACGGGGGAAGGAGAGAAATGCTTGGCTATTTGTCGTTTGTGCATGTGCGCGCAGTCACATGGGCAATGCAAGGCCCGATTTCTCATATTGCTTGTTATCATAGCTTATTTGTTTTCTAGGTAAGGTTATAGGTTCATACGCGCAGCGCAAGGTGCGACTCTTACGGTATGTTTTGGGCGTGCTAGTATGCAAAGCATCGGGCCCATGCAACTTGCGGATTTTCATTTGCGGACTTTCATTTTAGCTGTTAGCAATCCGCTCTGTTAGCTGTTCGCCGAACTGTGCGGATGTTGATTCATAAAAGCACATAGCTGCCGCGCAGTTCCGCCAAAATGAAAATACGCAAATGAAAATCCGCAAATGAAGATCCGCATGTTGCGCCTTGCGCTGCGCGTATGAACCTATAACTTCACCTACAAAACAAATAAGCTATGATAACAAGCAACATGAGAAATCGCGCCTTGCATTGCCCATGTGACTGCGCGCACATGCACAAATGACAAATAGCCAAGCATTTCTCTCTTCCCCCCGTTCTACAACCTCCCTGTAGCGCTCTCAACCTTCCACCTCTCTCTCTCTCTCTCTCTCTCTCTCTCTCTCTCTCTCTCTCTCTCTCTCTC